TTAGAGAGTCAGGCCTGATAAGGACTCATCAGATGGGGTTTTATTACCCTATTATCCTATATACTAAAGTTTGTTTTCCAACCTGACTCTGGCACAACATCACATAACAGATAAAAAAGGAAATCAAAATATATTATGACCCTGCAAAGCTGTCTCTTGGGGGCTCCCAGACTTCAGACACCTTGTCTGATTTTCACCTGTCTACTGATTTTCAGAATTCCTTAGGTAGTTGGACTGCCAGGCTCTGGGAAACTTGTGCTTTACTGATTTTCAAAATTCCTTAGCTAGGAACTACAAATTGCAGGTTAATCAATCCTTATATCCACCTATAACCTGCAGGCCCCATTTGGAAACGCCCTCTTTCCTGGATTGAACCAATGAACATCTCACACATATTGATTTATGATTTTGTGACTTCTACCTCCCTAAATTGTATGTACTCAAGCTACCATTCAACACACGCATGGGTACATGTTCTCAGGGCCTCCTGGGCATGGATGTTCCTGGACTTGGTCACCCATATTGGCCAGAATAATTCATCTTAAAATATTTTACCGATTAGGACAGGTCAGCCTGGAGGAAGCCTAGGTGCTTTGGCTGAAGCCTGGATCGCGGGCAGGCTTTTTGCCATCACACAGACTGACTGGTTGTGATGAGGTTCCCCAATCATTTTTTTACTCAACCAATATTGAGATCTACTATATTAGAAGCTGGGACTTACAGCAATGAACACAGTTTTCCTACCCTCATCTACATTTTAAAAGGGGCAGGGTGGGTGATGACAAAACAGTAATACAATTTCAGACACTGGGGGAATTAAACTGAGTATGGTGATAATGAGACTATGAAGGACTGCCTTGTACAACTGGCTTGTACGTTGGGTGATTAGGGAAGGCCTCTCTAAGAAAGTGATATCTGACTTGAGACCTGAATGACAAGGAGCCAGCCATGTGAAAATTCAGGGGTCAAGAACCAGTAAGGGGTCAAAACCTTAGAGTGGCATGTTGGAAGAAGAGAAAAAGCTATATAGATGTGTATTTCCAAAAATGGAAAAAAAGGTTTGGCTGGGCTCAGTGGCTCAGCCTGTAATCCCAGCACTTTGGGAGGCCAAGGCGAGTGGATTGCCTGAGCCTGCGGGTTCGAGACCAGCCTGGGCTACTTGGCTTGACCTCGTCTCTACAACAATAAAAAAAAAAAATTAGCCGGGCATGGTAGTGCGTGCCTGTAGTTCCAGCTACTTGGAAGGCTGAGGTGGACAGATTGCCGGAGCCCAGCAGGTCAAGGTTGTGGTGACCATGAGCGAGCCACTGCACTCCAGCCTGGGCAACAGAGTGAGTTTAAAAAAAAAAAAAACTGAAAAAAAGTTTAAGCTTGGCCGGGCTCGGTGGCTCAGCCTGTAATCCCGTGCTTTTGGAGGCCAAGGTGAGTGGATCGCCTGAGCCTGCGGGTTCGAGACCTGCCTGGGCAATTTGTCGAGACCTCATCTTTACAATAAATAAAAAAATTAGCCGGGCGTGGTAGCGCACGCCTGTAATTCCAGCTACTTGGAAGGCTGAGGCAGAAGGATCACCTGAGCCCGGCAGGTCAAGGTTGTGGTGACCAGAAGCACGCCACTGCACTTCAGTCTGGGCGACAGAGTGAGACTCCAACTCAAAAAAAAAAAAAAAGTTTAAGCTTAGTGAGCAAGGGAGAGGTAAAGGATAAAGTATGTGGAAAAAAATTTAAGTTTTTAAGAACAGCTTCTAGGTTTCCATAGTCCACTGGGAAAAAAGCATATTCAGATGACTTGCAGTTCAAAATGCAAATCCCAATCATCAAACAGCATCTAACACCTTATTTTTTTTTTTTTTTTGAGTTGGAGTCTCACTTTGTTGCCCAGGCTAGAGTGTAGTGGCGTGCTCATGGCCACCCCAGCGTTGACCTGCTAGGCTCAGGTGATCCTTCCACCTCAGCCTTCCAAGTAGCTGGAACTACAGGCACATGCTACCATGCCTGGCTAATTTTTTGATTTATTGTAGAGAGGAGGTCTCGCCAAGCTGCCCAGGCTGGTCTCAAACCATGAGCTCAGGCAATTCTCTCACCTTGGCCTCCCAAAGTGCTGGGATTATAGGCATGAGCCACTGCGCCTGGTCAATCTAACATCTCTTAAAACAAGTAAATGGTGCCAGGCTCGGTGGCTCAGCCTGTAATCCCGCGCCTTTGGGAGGCTGAGGTGAGTGGATTGCCTGAGCCCGCGGGTTCGAGACTCGTCTGGGCAGGCGAGACCTCATCTCTACAATAAATCAAAAAATCAGCCGGGTGTGGTAGCGCGTGCCTGTAATTCCAACTACTCGGAAGGCTGAGGCAGAAGGATCGCTGGAGCCCAGCAGGTTGAGGCTGCGGTGGCTGGGAGCGACCACTGCACTCCAGTCTGGGCAACAGAGTGAGACTCCAACTCAAAAAAAAAAAAACAAGTAAATGACCATCATGGCAAGTGAACTTGTAACATGTACACTTGTAATCACCTAGTGTACAGCAATTCTCTTTTGTTACATGCTATGTAACCAAAGCATAATGTTGATAAGCTTTTACTAAATGTGTTAGCGACAGGAAAGTGAGAAGGGTCTTATCTGCTGCTTTACCAGTGTCTGGATTCTAAAATTTTGACGGGTATATATAGGGCTTTGTTATTTATATTGATGAACAAATGCTCAAGTTAACAGTAATCAATGATATTGTAGTTGCTGTTAATGCTCTCTGATGACCCAAGGCTGCAGCAACAGGCACATTTGAAATAGCAATAGATTCCACACAGAGGCAATGACAGAGTTGGAGTGTCAGCATTTTCATTAATTTTAACATTCTATGTGCATTTAAATACTGAGTTCTAATTTTTGCTGGTAAATCGTTAAAGCAAGACATGGTAGAAAACCCGTTGGCTAGGCTCGGAGTCTCAGCCTGTAATCCCGCGTCTTTGGGAGGCTGAGGTGAGTGGATTGCCTGAACCCGCGGGTTCGAGACCCACCTGGGCAATTTGGTGAGACCTCATCTCTACAATAAATCAAAAAATTAGCCGGGTGTGGTAGCGCGCACCTGTAGTTCCAGCTACTTGGAAGACTGAGGCGGAAGGATTGCCTGCGCCCAGCAGGCAAGGCTGCAGTGGCCGGAAGCGACCACTGCACTCTAGTCTGGGCGACAGAGTGAGACTCCAAATCAAAAAGAAAAAGAAAAAGAAAACCCGTTGGACTCACGTTGCTTGCGTTTCTCATTCTACTTTTTTTTTGAGTTGGAGTCTCACACTGTCGCTCAGGGTAGAGTGCAGTGGCACCCCCAAGGCCACTGCAGCCTCAGCCTGATGGGCTCAAGCGATCCTTCCATCTCAGCCTTCCAAGTAGCTGGAACGACAGGCACACACCACCATGCCCGGCTAATTTTTTGATTTATTGTAGAGATGAGATCTCCTCAAGTTCCCTATGTTGGTCTAGAACCTATAGGCTCAGGCAATCCTCTCACCTCGGCCTCCCATAGTGCTGGGATTATAGGGGTGTGAGCCACCACACCCAGCCTTCTCATTCTTATAACCAGAATTTCTGCTTATAATGAAGTCTCTCAAACAATCCGTAAATGGGTCGAGCGCAGTGGCTCACACCTATAATCTAGCACTTTGGGAGATTGAGGTGAGAGGATTGCCTGAGTCCACAGGTTCCAGACCAACCTAGCCAACTTGGTGAGACCTCATCTCTACAATAAATAAAAAAATTAGGCCAGGCTCGGAGGCTCAGCCTGTAATCCCAGCACTTTGGAAGGCCGAGGTAAGTGGATTGCCTGAGCCAGCGTGTTCGAGACCCGCCTGGGCAACTTGACGAGACCTCATCTCTACAATAAATCAAAAATTAGCTGGGCATGGTAGTGCGCGCCTGTAGTTCCAGCTACTTGGAAGGCTGAGGCGGAAGGATCGCCGGAGCCCAGCAGGTCGAGGCTGCGGTGGCCGGGAGCGGCCATTGCACTCCAGTCTGGGGGAGAGTGAGACTCCAACTCAAAAAAAAAAAAAAAAATTAGCCAGGCGTGGTGGTACATGCCTGTAATTCTAGCTACTTGGAAGGTTGAGCTGGAAGGATCGCCTGAGCCCAGCAGGTCGAGGCAGCAGTGGCCTTGAGGGTGCTACTGCACTCCACCCTGAGCAAGAGAATCCGACTCAAAAAAAAAAAATCAGTAAACGAACAGGAATTATATCATAGTGCCATATTCTTGGATTCTAGAAGTCCTGGATTAATGATGAAACTTGGTTTAAGTCCCAGTGCTGCCACTTAATAGCAGCCATCTGAGTCTGTTTCCTCATGTGTAAAAGGGAACTGTCATCTGTTCTTGCCTACCTCGTGGCACCTTTATAGAAATCTAGCTTAGCAAACTGTAAAATCAGACATAATTTAAGTATTCAAATGTGACTGGAGTTTGTCGAGGGCCCTTAAAGCCTTTGCCTGTTTTGCAATTTTTTTTTTTGGAGTCAGTCTCACTGTCGCCCAGGCACGCTCACGGCCACTGCAGCCTTGATCTGCTGGGCTCAGGCAATCCTTCCGCCTCAGCCTTCCAAGTAGCTGGAACTACAGGCATATGCCACCACGCCCAGCTAAGTTTTTGATTTATTGTAGAGATGAGGTCTCACCAAGTTGCCCAGGCGGGTCTCAAACCTGAAGGCTAAGGCAATCCTCTCACCTCGGCCTCCCAAAGTGCTGGGATTATAGTCTTGAGCCCCACATCCGGCCCTGTTTTGCATTTTGTGCCAATGCCCTACTCCCCAAGCTCTTCCAGAACCCCAGCAACTAAGAGAAAGATGTCCAGCTTGAGGTTATCAAAATTCATCCTTGAACAGGGTGCTGTGCACAGAGTCCTATGTTGAGGATTCCTCTGATTCCACCTACCCAATGTTTAACGATAAGGGATCCTTCCCAGCTGCCTCTTCCCTTCCCTCTTCCCAAGATTCACAGGTAAACATTCCCACCCCAGACAGTACCAAGATCACAGACTTTTATTCTTGCATTTTATTTTGCACATAAAGAAAACCAAAGAAGGAAATGAGGTCAGAAGACAAACTTTTCATTTCCTCCTGAACATATATAGCAAGGTATATCACAGGCACTCATTAACAACACATGCAACACAGGCTGGTTCTCAATATACAGAAAGCCCAAGCAAGAAGGGTAAGTATGAAAGATCTACAGGGGTCAGACTGGGAGCTGTGCTAAAGAAAGCTGGAATCTATCCAAGTAGCTCTTTTCCTCCCACATTTCAGGCTTATCACTCCCTCCTGCTCCAAGATGGTTAAATCTATACACAGAAATCCAAGCAGTTCCAAATATGCAGCCCTAGCTGTGCTTCACCAGACATCTCCATAAGTCACACCCTGGCTCAAACTCTATACAGGAAGTTGCCGTTACTATCAAAGAACTCTCGCCCCCTCTGCACTACTTTGCTGCTGAAGTTCTGCTCCCGCGGCTCCCCTGTCTTCACCTCCTCCAGCTTCTCATCACTTGGCAATCCACCGACATCAGCTCTCCTGGTGCCCTCACAATTGCTGGTGGAGTATTTCTGCAGCTCTCTCTGATGACCCAAGGTTGCAGCAACAGGCACAAAGCTCTCCTTCTCCATGACCTTCTGGATTCCTTTATTCCTTCCCTTCTGTATCCTTGGTACATCTGTACTGTGAGTGTTCGACTCTACCACTTTCAAAGCTGTGCTGTGACTTGGGCCTTTAAATGAGGCTTCATCCCTTGGCATAAGCAAAGAGCCTGATACAGAGCAGCCTGCAGGGAGCGGTTTCAAGGTTTCTTTAGAGCCCTGGAGCTGCTGGAGTGAGGGGGCAAGCCCAGCTTTCTTAAGGACTTTTTGATCCTGCTTCAATTTCTGCTCCAATGTGGGTACAAATTTGCTTTTTAAAACTCTTCGGATCACATCAGTGCTGACATCAAAGCCTTCAGCCAACCTGGGAACTGACCAGGACTCTGCAAATTCCTTATGCAAATACCTACGGGAAAAAGGAAAAGGTTTGCAAGTTGTGAACAAGTCTCCCATCAGAACATCTAACTTATAATACCAATTATAAGGAAGAGGAATCGAAAAACCTGCACATGAAGTCCCGATCTTGTGCCTGCTAAATGGTTGTGTTCCATTTTTGTGTACTAAGAGCCACACCTGAGGCCGGGTGTGGTAGCTCAAGTCTAATCCCAGCATTTTGGGAGGCCGAGGTGAGAGGACTGCCTGAGCCCACGGGTTCAAGACCAGCCTGGGTAACTTGGTGAGACCTCATCTCTACAATAAATAAAAAAATCAGCCGGGTGTGGCAGCGCGTGCCTGTAGTTCCAGCTACGTGGAAGGCTGAGGCGGAAGGATCGCCGGAGCCCAGCAGGTTGAGGCTGTGGTGGCTGGGAGCAGCCACTGTACTCCAGTCTGGGTAGCAGAGTGAGACTCCAACTCAAAAAAAAAAAAAATTAGGCCAGGTGCCATGGCTCACGTCTACAATCCCAGCACTTTGGGAGGCCAAGATGAGAAGATTGCCTGAGCCCACGGGTTCGAGACCAGCCTGGGCAACTTGGCGAGACCTCACCTCCACAATTAATCAAAAAATTAGCTGGATGTGATGGTGTAGCCCAGATTGGAGTACAGTAGCACACTGCTCACAGCCACCGCAGCTTCGACTTGCTGGACTCAGGGGATCTTTCTGCCTCAGCCTTCCAAGTAGCTGGAACTACAGGCACATGCCACCATGCCTGGCTAATTTTTTTATTTATTGTAGAGATGAGGTCTCGCCAAGTTGCCCAGGTTGGGCTCGAACCCATGAGCTCTAGCAATCCTCTCACCTCGGCCTCCCAAAGTGCTAGGATTATAGGCGTGAGCCATCATCTCTGGCCCTAAAAACTTTTAAAAAATTAAAATAGAGTCCAGGCTCAGTGGCTCAGTCTGTAATCCCGTGCTTTGGGAGGCCGAGGTGAGTGAATTGCCTGAGCCTGTGGGTTTGAGACCCGCCTGGGCAACTTGGCGCGACCTCATCTCTACAATAAATAAAAAATTAACTGGGTGTGGTAGCGCGCGTCTGTAGTTCCAGGAACAGCCACTGCACTCCAGTCTTGGTGACAGAGTGAGACTCCAACTCAAAAAAAAAATTAAAATAGAAAGTTGGCCAGGATCAGTAGCTCAGCCTGTAATCCTGGAACTTTGGGAGGCAGAGGAGAATGGACTGCCTGAGCCCGCTGGTTCGAGAGCAGCCCAGGCAACTTGGCGAGAACTCGTCTCCACAATAAATAAAAAAAATTAGCCAGATGTGGTAGTGCACGCCTGTAGTTCTGACTATTTGGAAGGCTGAGGTGGAAGGATTGCTGGAGACCAGCAGGTCGACTCTGGGGTGCCCATGAGTATGCCACTGCACTCCAGCTGGGCGATGGAGTGAGACTCTGACTCTAGAAAAAAAAAGTGATACAGACAAGGTGTGGTGGCGCACACCTGTAATCCCAGCATTTTCAGCATTTTGGGAGGTTGAGGTGGGAGGACAGCTTGAGGCCAGGATTTCAAGACCAGCCTGGGTAACAAAGCAGGACACCATCTCTATAAAAATTAGAAAAATTAGTAGTGTTGATATTTTCAAGGCACTGCTGCTTCTGAATCTAGGGAAACTGTAGATGGAAGGATGGTGTACAAAAAATGTGAAAACAAACTTGAAACTATTATCACCACTCCAGATACATGGAAAGATGGTGTTAGGAATACCACAGAAAGTGGTGGAATAAAGCTGAAAGAAAAAGTTTTGACTTCAAAAACAGCAAGATTCAGCTGGGCGCTGTGGCTCAGGCTGTAATTCCAGCACTTTGGGAGGCTGACGTGAGAGGATTGCCAGAGCCTGGGGGGTTCGAGACCAGCCTTGGCAACTTGGTGAGACCTTGTTTCTACAATAAATTAAAAAAAAAACAAAAACAAAACTCTAGCAAGGTTCAATACATATGAAAAGATTTAAGTTCTCCAACTTGCAGAATGTTAAGGAGGCTAAAGACTATGAAGTATCAGCTGAATCTAGCATTGAGTAAGCCACTGAGCACCTGCTGGGCTCTCATTACTGCTAGGGCTGTGCCTACATAAAGAGCATCTGTGGATGTGTGGAAAAAAGGTTTTGGATACCAAAAACTACAAGCAAGCCCCAGTCTGGATATGTTGATAAGGTTTCTGGCATTCTATATGATTTTTCTTTCTGCTTTAAATTTTCAATGCATAACACAGATGTTCAACTTGCAAAATGACATGTTTTAAGACAAATAATTAAGTCTAAACCAGAAAAAAATAATTAGAAAAATTAGACGGGTGATTGCGCGTGCCTGTAGTCCCACTTACTCGGGAGGTTAAGGCAGGAGGATCGTTTGCGCTCCAGGAGTTCGAGGCTGTGGTGAGCCGTGATCGTGTCACGGCACTCCAGCCTGGGAGACTGAGTGAATGAGACTGTCCAAAAAAAAAAGGAAACGGAAATACAAAAGCAATATCAAAAAGGCCAAACCCATGTCCTAGTTTCCCGTATCCTCCTCATCACAGCAGATGCAAACAAGATACCTAGAGTCTTACCTGATCTGCTCCATGGCTTCCCACGTTAGGGTTCTGGGCGGGGCACCTGGCGCCTCCATTTGCCTCCGAATTTTCTGGAATCGCATTGCTTTTTTCTGTCGTTTCAGGGCGCTGGAGGAGAGAACCAATGGGAGAAGCCGTGCGTGGCAGCAAGATGGATGTTTGAAGAGCCTCAGGCTACATCACAGAGCGCCCAACCCTCTTCTCTTTGTTCGAAATGGCAACCGGGCCATTATCTGCCGCTTACAGCTGCTCTGGCCATCGCCCTAGAAATCTAACACCAAGAACTGCCCGTAAGCATGCCGAACTCTCTAAACTGGTGATGAAATACGTTACGAGTGAAGGGACTCGTGGTCCCAAGGGAGCTGAACACCTGCCGCTGCGCCCGACAACGGGTGAGGAGAAACGGGGGCCGCCGCGCACGCGGCGAACGGGGCGCGGCCTGCAGCGCCGGGGCGCCCGGCCTGCTTCAGGCTGAGGACCCGGGGAGCAGCCGGTACCTCTCCACTTCCTGCAGCTCCCGCTCCTCCGGCTCCCAGTCGGAATCGGGGTCTGGCTCGCGGCCGATAGAGCCAGGGCCCGCCACCCCCCGGGTCGCGAGCCCACAGCGAGCGACCGCAGCGCGGACACGCCCGCCCAACAAGAGTCTCGAGGAAACTGCCATGTCGACGCAAATAAGCCTTCAGAGTCTGCGACGAGGCCGCACCGGAAGTAGAAGGGCGGAACCGGAAGCGGAAGGGCAGGCAGGAAGCTAGGGAGTCGCCGGTATTTCACGCTTCATGGCGTGCGGGCAAGTTGTGGGCTTGACTTGCTCAGTGACCGGCCCTTCTTGGCTGTCGCTGTGGAGAGGGCTTCCCTGAAACACGAGGGCTGAAATGAGCAGGACGCGCCTGGAAAACGGCATAAACTTTAAAAAAAGATGGATCCAATAGCCAAGAGCCGTCCCTCTGCCCCAGCGGCTGCCCAGGCCTGCCAGTCCCCTCCACCGCGGTGGAAGGACTTCCGTTCGGCAGTCCTGAGGGCGACGGACCGGTGCTTTGACCACTTGGCTCCTTGTCGCCGGGGAGGGGTGGGTCTCCAGCCCCAGGCCGCGCCCAGGGTTGACCCAGCACCTAGCAGTAAACCCAGACTAAGGTTTGAGCAGAGATGACTACGTGGTCGGCCTTGGCGCCTCTTCATCTTTTACTCTTTACCGACCCCAAAATAGTCTTAGGGTGTAGAGGAATTCTTGGTGTCTTTGTGTTTGCCTTATACAAACGGGGTACCTGACCAGGGCTTTTCAAACTTGAACTTAGTGGCATTCTTTCATTTAGCAAAGTCTGAAGGCCTTTGACCCTTTGGAAACCTGAGGGGATTCTCCAGGAGAGGTAGAATGCGGGGCTTCCCTCCTGCTTTTACCTGTGCTGGCTGACGTTGAGGAGTGAACTGGAGCGCAGCCGCACGGGTGTAGACGCAGGGCAGAGGGGGAGATCCTGGGCCTTGGCTGCTCTGTGTTCAGAGTTTACCATGGAGGGCAAGGTGCATTCAGTCCTTGAGTCACATGTCCCTCTCTCTGGTTGCAGAAGATAGCCCTGCTTTGGGGTTAAAGTGGGTGGCACTGATCCTGCCAGGACTCGGTTTATGGCTTCTAGCCTTCTGCTGGCTTGGCCTTCTGCAGTGGAAACATGGATCCTCCTGAGTTGGTACTCACACATTTACTCAATTACCAACAGGGAGGAATGGCATTCCCGTATTTCCCTCCAGAGTCTTTACAACACTGTTGTAATTGGTATGTCTCCTTGACCATGCCCCTGGTAACATTTGTTGAGTGCTAGGACTATGTCTGCCTTTTTTGTCACCAGGTTCTAGAACATAGGAGGAAGTAAATAAATAGATCCACTAACTTCCCCCATTCCCATGCTGCTAGAACTGCCATATTGTATTTTGGGAGCATCCCAGTTATATATTTGCTTGTGGGAATTTACACTGGTCAAAATGACCAAAACTAGTTTTGTATACTTACGGCTAGTGAGCCTGACTCTAGCGCTGGAAAAACAGCGCCTTCCAGATTTCTTCATTGACAATGAATAGGGGCTGATGGCTGCTGCGTCTCCTGTCCACTTGAAGTTCTTAGACTGCAGATGGCACTGGGAATCACGTGGAATGGCAGCATTCATGCTTTGCAGTGGCCCTAAGATCCCGGGGTTCAACTCTTGGGGCTGAACTGGATGCAGGAAATGAGGGCCCTGCTCTGTGGCAGCCCCTCTCAGGAGCACCAGTTGGACCACACTCACAGATTTCAGTTCTTGACTGCCCAGCCCGTCCTGGTGAAATCTAGGCTGGAGGAGAAGAGCGGCCCCTTACCACATTTCTTTGGGAGGCTGAATGAAGTGTTGGAAAAAAGAGGTAACTGAAAATCTTTTCTAGGATGTAGCCACTATTTAACCAGTTACTCCTTTGTAGTTCAACAAAAACAGAGGACCCATTCTCCCAGGCAACAGTGAATGCAGCAGCTGTTTGGTTGGCCCAAGAGTGTTTACTTATATCCCATTAGAGCCAGGGCACTGACAGTGCTAGGGAGAAAACTACACGGAAGCTCCTCAGGGTGGTGGTTTTGTTATTTGTCAGTCATGAGTTTGGGGTTAGTGTGAGACAGAAATATAGAACACAAGTCTCTTGGAAGTGAGAAGATTGGGAGCTGCAATTTGCTGGATGTCATACGTAAAATAAGGGAGCTTGGGAACAGACCCTCTCCCAAGGCCCCGCCAGCATACTCTGCTTTCCTGGCCTCCACTGACAGATACCATCACATAAACCTCCTTTGGTGAGACCACCACCATGTGCTGGTACCACAGCCCTTGTTCCCTTGTTCTCTGGGAGGCTTCGTAGGGATCCTCACCCGACATTCAAGAAGTTTTTTCTGATCCTGGGGGCCAGGGTGCAGCAGGCGACTGAGCTGCTCTACAATACCCAGGCTTTGGATGAGATTCTTCCTGTGTATCAGGGCCTTCATCCGCTCCAGCTCCTCCTCTTCCACAATTTCTTGAGGCTGCATGGTGTCCAGCTGAATTGGTAGCAGCTACAAGGTACATGAGAGTTACATGCAGGATCTCCAAGGACGAGTCCCAAACTATCTACAGGATGGCTGCAGGATTCCTGCCCACCTGCCTTTATCCTAGTGTAAGGTTCCCTTTGCTGTCCACGCTCTCACCTGTTCCAGAGCGTCAGATTCAATTTACTGACTAGGAACTCACGTCTCTTGTGCAAGGAGAGGAGAGGGCAGCAGAGATTCCCTTCTCTAGTCGTCCCAACCCACTTTCCTGCAAAAAAGAGAAGAGCCACAAAACCCCTGACACCTCTTTCTTCCGGTTCCAGTTTCTGTAAGCCAAGCGGTTGGAAAGGCCCCGGAGCCCTGCTTTGTATCGGCTCTTCTCACCAGCTGATTCACCCTGGTTGTGGTCCTTGTAGACCTTTCGCCTCTTAGTGCTTAAGGTCTGCTGTTTCTGCTTAAGGCGGATCTCTTCCAGTTGCTGCCTGGCAAGACACAGCAGCTTCAGACACTGGAGAAACCGTGTTGGGGAGAAGAGGGGTGGGGGAAAATGAGAATGGGGAAACAGTAGGAAATTCTGATCTGTTCTCAGGATTGATGGGAGAAGAATGAAGGGGAAGAGGGGAAACCTACTAAACCAAAAGAGACTATTAAGAGTCCAGTAGAAGCCGGGCTCGGTGGCTCAGTCTTGTAATCCTGCGCCTTTGGGAGGCTGAGGTGAGTGGATTGCCTGAGCCCACGGGTTCGAGACCCGCCTGGGCAACTTGGCGAGACCTCATCTCTACAATAAATCAAAAATCAGCCGGGCGTGGTAGCGCACTCCTGTAGTTCCGGCTACTCGGAAGGCTGAGGCGGAAGGATCGCCGGAGCCCAGTGGGTCGAGGCTGCGGTGGGCAGGAGCAGCCACTGCATTCCAATCTGGGCGACTGAGTGAAACTCCAACTCAAAAAAAAAAAAAAAAAAGAGTCCAGTAGAATGTATAGCTCCATTCCTCGAATGTCTGGCTTCCTCTCCCCCTGCCAGGGAGCAGTGCAGCTTCAGGATTTGCCCTCACCAAGTGTACAGAGAATGGAGAGCAAAATACCTGGCACACTCCTCTCTGGCCTTGGAAGCAGCAGTCTCCTGGAAGAGAGAGCCATTGTGCTTGAAGAAGGGTGCATACTTCTCCGAGTTAGGCCCAGGGTATATCCGCCGGTATCTCCCTAGGTGAGAATCCTCATAGCGTTCCTGGTCTAGCATTGCTGCATTGGATGACTCGGTCTGTTCTCGTCTGTGGAAACCAAGCTCAGTGAGTCAAGAGGGCTGTGAGACTGTTCAGTAGGGAAAGGACTGGCCAAGGCTCTGAAACCTTCCCTCTGGCTTCTTAGCCTCCCAGGCCCCTGCCCATGTGGGGAAAGCTTCCAAACCCTTCTTTGGCCAGTTCCACATGTGTAGCCATGAAAATTGGCTTGATTTCCAGAAATCTGGTTTTCCTCTTAAGTGCAGAGGATTGGTTATTAGCATGGACTCAAGGACCTCTTGAGTCGGAATCCTGGCTTTGCCACACACTAGCTCACCCTCCCTCCCTCCCCCCCTTCCTTCCTTCCTATGCAAATGCAATCGAACAACATTTTTCATGGCTGCCTAGTATTCTACTATACGATTGTACTTTTGTTTGTTTAGTCCAGTAGTGTTCAGCCATTTCTTCTCATTGGAAGACATTCATAATAAATAAATAAAAAGACATGATTCATAACACTCAGGTGCACAGTCCAGTCTCATGGGAATAGCCAGGGTATTTACAGTTTACTCCCATTCATCACACAAACATTTGCGTGCCTACTATGTGCCAGGCCCTGCAGCTATCATGGGAAATCAAACATGCACTGACCTTGCAATGCAAGTGGGGAAGAACAATGATTATAGTGAATCTCAAATTCCTTTTTTTTTTTTTTTGAGTTGGAGTCTCACTCTTTCGCCCAGACTGGA